GCGCCGAAGGGGGCTCGGCTCGACCAATCGCCGCCGCGGAGGGGCGTGCCCGAGCGCGGAGAATGGAATGTGTTCTGCACCGGGAGCCGGCCCAGCGGGCTTAGTGTACTCGAGCAAGGGTGGGTGGGTGCTCACGCGCGCGCGCGCCCGCGCCCGCGCAGGATGCGCACCCGCAGGCTGTGTGTATATTTTAGGAAGTTTTGATATTCAAAACGAGCCAGCAGATGCAGCCAAATCCGGAGAGAGAAAGATCTTTGTCTGCAAATCAGAGCCAATTGAAAGAAAAAGGGTGTTGAGCCTTGAAGTCAAAGCCTTTGAGGTGAGGGCAGCTTAGCCTCCTCAGAGGGTAATTGAAGGCGCTCGAGCCAACCCTTAGAAGTCAAGTCCAGGCAGAGATCAACTAGGGCTTACTGGGATCCTGAGTTGAATAATTTGCTTCAGGTTCCATGAAAGGATTCTTGGGTTACTCTACAAGGCGAATAAATACAAGGAAAGAGTCAGATAAAAGAGGTGAGGGAAATGGGAAATGAACCAACTAAATCCCCTTGCAGAGTGACATTTAATAAAGTACAGCTGATGAAAGTTTACTAAGCACAAAGGAAAAGAGATGAGGACTCAGGCCCTGTCTTAAAACATACCTTTTTGACAGTAGTCCATCCTCTTTCTGTAGATTATCTTATATAAACAGGTTTTGCTTATTCCAGGCAAACTAGCAATGGAGAGGAGACTTCTCTGAGGATTATGCATAGTCTCTGAAATTAACCTTAGAATGCTCGGATGCAAAAAAAAATGGGCTCCAGACGTGCTGGTTACTGGCTACAGAAAGCAGCCCCCAAAGGCTATGTCCAACCAGAGTTGCCTCTCAGGATTGGGTTCCTGAGCTCCAGATTTATCAGAGGTGTCTTGAGAAAAACTCAAAAACCAAACTCACTGTCACTGAGTCAATGCCGACACTATAGGACAGAGTAGAACTGTCCCCGGGAGTTTCTGAGACTAACTCTTTACTCGAGTAAAAAGCCCCATCTGTCTCCCAAGTAGCAGCTGGTGGTTTTGAACTGCTGACCTTGCAGATCGCACATGACCCAACACACAACAATTACTTCAACAGGATTTGAAAAAGAAGGACTAAAAACCTAGTGCTTTCATTTAAAGGCATTTTGATGTTAGAATTTATATTAAACCTTATTTATGAACTTTAACGGTTTTATTTTAACTCTTGATAATGTAATAATTTGAGATTGTACTCATTCCTTCATTATAGCCAAGATGAGAAATATTTCATTGTTTTAGACCCAGAATTCATTAGAATGTCAGAATATTGGCTGTGTACAGGGATTTAGGAATCATCTAGAAACACCCTTTTATTTTACAGAAGAGCTGAAGGTTCAGGGAGACTTCTTGTCTCTCTAGTTCATGCCTGAAATTAGAATCTGCGCCACCCAACTCCTCCAGTCATCTTTTCACTACTTTTCCTTGCTCTTCTCTGGCTGCACCAGTCAGAACTAGATGCAGTCCCTGACAGAATTCAGATTTAATGGTACCAGCTCCCAAGGAAGAGTGAGGAGGCGTGACTTTGCCTTTTCTTGAGCTATAAATGCAGACCAGGCAGCTGACTGTAGTTTAGCAATCTCTGGTTTTAAAGCCAACACCACCCTCTAGCGAAATTTTGGGAATGACAATAAAAATTTCCTTCCATAATAGAAAATGCTCTGAGGGAGATGAAAGGGGAGTATTAATGTGTAAACAATGGGGAATCACACACTTAAATTTTCCTTTTTAACCCTGTTATTGCAATGCCTGCCTCTATAACCCAGAGAGTAAAAGAAGGCAGTAAAAAGTGCCTTAGATTTCTAACAGCCGTGCATGTCCTTCACCCCATTGACTCGAGAACTCGCTCCTGTACTACGGAGGAAACTGCCTCCACTGCTAGCTGAAAAGTGGACAGATTAAACCCACCAGGCATTGTGGGAGGCAGGTTTGGCCATTGTTTCTTCAAAGATGTACAGCTTTGGAAAACCCGTGGGGGGCATTCATTCTTTTCAACAGGGTCGCCAGGAACCAAAATGGATTCGACGGCTATAGGTTTCATTTTCAGTTGATTATTGTTTTGTTTTGTTGTTTTGGTCCCAACAAAAATAATATACATTGGCTTTTATGTTTTCTTCTTGGTTTTTCAACTGTTAATATATTTGACTCTTGTCTTTTACTGTTGCTTTCTATGCCTCATTTTTCTGTGTTATCCTTATAGTTTCTAGAATTTTGAAAATCCATCCTTGGGTTGCTCTTTGAAAATGTAAAAGTGAAACATCTCACTCATTATCTGATTGCACAATACTAATGTCATCAACAAGTATTTACCATTTCACAGATTTATATTACATTTTTAAATAATTTATTTTTCGAAACACTAAAATTAGTGGCACTATACTAACACTTGGCAAATCTGCAGCACAAGACCTCTTTAAAATGTTGAAAAGTAAAGATGTTGCATTGAAGACTAAGATATACCTGATTTAAGCCATGATCTTTTCAATGGCCTCATATGCATGTGAAAGTTAGACACTAAGGAAAAAATAGTCATAATTTCACTGCTACCCAGTCCATTCTGACTTCTAGTGACCCTGTAGGACAGGATAAAACTGCCCTCGTGAGTTTTCAAGACTGTAACTCTTTGGAAAGTAGAAAGCCTCATCTTTCCCCTGAAGAGTGGCTGGTGTTTTTGAACAGCTGACCTTTTGGGTAATATTCCAACATGTAACCAAAGAAAAATCAGTGCATTTGAACTATGGTGTAGACCAGTGGTTCTCAACCTTCCTAATGCCTCGACCCTTTAATACAGCTCCTCATGTTATTGTGACCCCCCAACCATAAAATTATTTTCTTTTTTTTTTCTTTTTTTTAATCATTTTATTAGGGGCTCACACAACTCTTATCACAATCCATACACACATCAATTGGGTAAAGCGCATTTGTACATTCATTGCCCTCATCATTCTCAAAACATTTCCTCTCCACTTAAACCCCCGGCATTAGGTCCTCATTTTTCCCCTCCCTCCCCGCTCCCTCATGAGCCCTTGATAATTTATAAATTGTTATTTTGTCATCTCTTGCCCTGTCCGACGTCTCCCTTCACCCACTTTTCGGTTGTCCGTCCTCCAGGGAGGAAGTCACATATAGTTCCCCATAAAATTATTTTCATTGCTACTTCATAAACTGTAAATTTGCTACTGTTATGATCAGGCGACCCCTGTAAAAAGGTCATTCAACCCCCCAAAGAGGTCACAACCCACAAGTTGAGAGCCGCTGGTGTAGACAAAGAATAATAAAAAGTACCATGGACTGCCAAAAGAACCAAGAAATCTGTCTTGGAAGAAGTACAGTCAGAATGCTCCTTAGAGACAAGCTTAGTGAGACTACATCTCACGTACTTTGTGCATTTTATCAGGCGAGAGCAATCCCTGGAGAGGACATCATTCTTGGTATAATGGAGGGGCGGTGAAAAAGAGAAAGGCCTTCAACGAGATGATTAACACAGTGGCTGCAACCATGGGATCAAGCTTAAGAACAACTGTGAGGATAGCACAGCACCGGCGGCGTTTTATTCTATTGGGCAGAGGATTGCTATGACTCGATTGCGCCAAACAACAATGCTAACACTTGTCAGTGATCTTCAAGTGATCTTTCTCTTTCACATTCAGACACACATACATTGAATCCTTCGCTCTAAGAATCTGTTCATAAAGGCTGTTTAAGTCATAATATTTTAGGAAAATAGTTGAACCTTGATCTAGCAAATCTTGCATGCTCTCATTTTCTACCATAAGTCTGAAGGCTTTTCCTGATACTCTGGTCTGCAATTCAAATAAATAGATAGATAGATAGATAGATAGATAGATAGATAGATAGATAGATAGATAGATAGATAGATAGATAGACAGACAGACAAAACAACCTTCTGGTCTGCAATTCAAATAAATAAATAAATGAAACAACCTTCCTGTGATGAATAAGAGTAACGAATAGGCAAGTCAAATGTCACCCCTTGTCTGACCATAAATACAAAGACACCCCCCAAGTCCACCACATACTGTGTTGCTCATATTGTTGTTTTGTCTTCTTCGTGGGGGGCTATCACTGTGATAATGGTCCTGCCCACAGAATTGTTTACTTGTATCTGCTACCATCCTACTCCCTACTCCAGGCCCAGGATGATGTGCACAAAGACCTTGTCTATTGGGTTCATCTCTTTATCTCCAATTTCCGGAGCCCAGCTGGGCTGCTACAGAGTAGGTACTCAATAAACATATTTGTGCAGAATCTTCACCTTTCTAATCTATAACTGAATAAAATAACCACTTCTGCTGAAAGAAAAATGGCTCTGAGACTGCCCACATTTATCTTCGAGGAGGCGAGAATTCCCTACTAGAATACAAATCAGAGCAGAGCCACCGCGCAGGGAGTTGCAACAACTGCAAAAGTGCTTGAAAGTTACATGAAATCCATGCAATGTAATAATAAAAGGAAATACTCCCTAGCCCTGAGCCACCCTCACAATTACTGAGAAACTTGGGCTCATTGTGGCAGCCAATGTGTAAATCCATATCCTGCGTGGTCGTTCTCTTTGTCACGTTCGACTTTACAAATGATGCCTTTGTCCA